TCAGGATCATGCTGGGATCACATTCAACTCAATGCCAGTATTGGTAATCCACACCAATCATTTGAAGAGAACAGCTGATTTGGGGAAATTATTGGAGGAACTGTACTATTAATGAGGGAGACATGTTTAAAGTCAAATAATATGGCATAAAATTAGTCAGTAAATGGAGAAGGGATATAGATTAGATTCAGTGTGTGTGTAGATTTCCCTTTTTCTCAGCATACTAACATTCCTCTGCAAGCACACACTTCCGTGCAACTTAATGATGCCTGAATATGTTATGCCGTACATATGGTTGCTGCTTTTAACAGAGTTCAAAATATTTAGAAACGTTTGAAATATTACGCTTAACAGCTGCCTCAAGTGCAAGTTAATCCACCATCCTTTCAGTGCAGTAATCTAATGGCCATTTCCTCAACTGCATGGTCGCCATTATTTGATTCATGACGTGAATATCTCTTTAATGTCGGAGATTTGAGATTTGGTATGACCTTGTTCTTTAATCTGTAAGAAATATGTTCCCAGAGCGCAGAGCAACAGGCTGTCATGTGGCGGGGGGGGGGGGGGGGGGGGGGGGGCACTGTTAAAGAATTAGAAGTGAGTTTGAGCCCAGCTGTGTGCATGTACATAATATAATTGGCCCTAGGATGAGAACTGACTTTAACAGGCAGATCTGCTGTGGAATATATTGCTTCATTATAAAGGGCAGAGTATACTCTGAAAAGCTGTGGTCGGGTTTCATATACTGTTGGAATAAATGTTTTGGTTTCTTATCAGCAGACTGGGGGATGTGTCTTGTACAGGAACAAATGTTGGCCATTACATTATAATGGGCAGTCATGTAAACCTAGCTACAAGCCAAAACCATAATAATCTGTCTGACTGTACTGGATGTTGTCTATAAATGTGCCATCACCTAAATATCATACATGTATGCAACATATAGAGAGAATTTAATGACTTCCCTGGTGCGGTCTTGCTTTAGAGTACAAAATTATCAAGATTTGCAGCAAGTCGATATATCACTTGCTTTCCTTCGTTTTGTGTGTGCAAGGTTTGCCTCAAAAGAATGATAAATCCACTATTTGAAAACGCATAGTTGATTTTCAAAAATACAAAAAGTAAAAAAAGTACAGCACATTATTGTTAAGGGTTAATATTATGAGGCACCCTACAGCCTTTGCTGCAAAGTACCAATGTTTTCAAAGTAAAGTCAGCTGGGTTTCTATGTTTTTTTTACATGATGAATATTAGAAGACAAGACTTTTCCAGTGAAACCCTTGATATGTGAATATGACGAAACCATATGTAAATCTTATCCTCAACTTATCTCAGCATACTGTTACTAGTACCCAACGCTGCTTTTCAACCTGACTCCTGTAGCTAGTGAGAGGGAGATGCATCAAAGTGCATTATTCTAGCTTAGAAATTCAAAATGATCAGTAAGACTGGAGAAAATAAACAAATATAAGATTGGCTGATTTTTGTTCTATTTTTGGCATGTTTACCTCCACTGGACATTTGGGAGTAGTGAGGCAGACAGGAAATGAGTAATGTTGAAGTAATATGTTGTGTGTTGTAACCACTAGGCCACAGGACACTCCCGACTCAGTGTTGATTGTGAGTTTGGCACAATCTGGATCTCACCATTATGAGATGAAGGCATAATTATTTAAAGATAAATTGGTGTATCATTTTTTGGTAAATGACAAAATCTTATTTTGCAATCTTTCTGAAGATATATAGTATATTCATAATGAATGCAAGGTGTGCCATTTGTAGAAGTGAAACATTTTGTGAATCCAAAATGTAACTCACTTCCTCATTAGTTATTTTATTTATTGGTGCATTTATTCATTCATTCACTCATAATTGGCATGTCTGCCTTCTGCTGCCCACCAGGATGTATTGCAGTATTTACAGATAACACACTGAATCATTCATGCCTTCCCCTCTGTGGTCTTGCTGAACTGTGCAGCGCTGTGTGTCCTTGTTTTCTTCAGATGGGTTCAGGGCCAATAATAAGTATACCAAGTTTGTCTGAACTGGATGAAAGGAATTTCTCAGACATCTAGTTCTTGACAGCAACTAAAGAGTTTCAGTGGGATAATTTAGTTTACTGAAAAGATATGACTGATTGTGTTTGTATCCGGATGACAAGAGCTGAGAAATAATATGACAAAGGCAAAAGGAAAACATTGTTGGCCCAAGAGGTGAGCCTTGAGGCACACCGCACAATCAGTGAAGCATAAAGAAAGAGTCATTAATTGAAAGTGAAAATGTTATGTTTGACAGTTAAAATGAGCAGCAGGTCCAGGGCAGCTACACAGGTACCAAACAAAAAGAGGCTCTGACATGCCCATGGGGGTAAATGGTCATGGTTAATATGTCATGGATTACTCAAACCAGTGGGGGGAGCTGTTCCATGTGTCTGAGTGAAAGGCTTTGTATATTTGGGGGATATAGCAGTGTTGGCATATCACTTGTTTCCAAACAGGTCACCCCTTCCTGTGTCCCTTCTCCCTAAAGCCTATAGTCACAAGCTGAAGGAGAATACACCACTTGTTTTCTTCGCCCCTTCATAATTCTGCTCCATTTAGTCCAAAGAAGCAGTCATGCCAACAAATACAAAGCCCTCCTCAAAAAGGGGGGTGGTGCAAATGCCATTTATAAAAAAAAAACAAAAAAAAACAAAACTCTTTCAATTCCCTGTGCTCAAAAAAACAAGGATATTTACTTTATCTCTCCCTTCATTCCCTGCCCTATAACAATACACACCAGCCCTGGGATTATTTTAAGCAACTTGATCTGAAACTTAAGGAACTTAATCCTATCTTCTGATTTCCAGCCACCATGTGACATCATCTACTGGAATCAAGTTACAGATGTTGGACTCTGTGTCTGTTTGGATTTCTGTGAACATTATTCTAAACAGGAAAAGATTTTTTTTCCCGTTATTTGGGCTATGTATAAACGAGTTATGAGGACAGCTGCAATGGGCATGAATGTATCACTGAAACTTGCTCTAGTTCTACTGTATGACAGCTGTTTAATCGCAGGATTAGACTATAAGAAGTAAAAATATTAACTGAGGTTAAATAGATTCACTGCTATTGAATTCACTACTAGTGAATATACAGGACTCTTGTGGCATGAATTAAGATCATGTTTTACTGCTTTTCAGCTAAATCCCTATATGTCCCCTTCAGGAACATGAACACTCAAGTGCAGTGGAGGGTAAAGCCACCTAAATTTACTTTATCCGCATTTTTATTTGCCAAACATAGTTTGACATCAACTTTTATGATTTACAACATTAAATATACAGTACTAAACAATGTCAAAAAAGAAGCCAGTTAAGTACTTTTCACTGTTTTTTTCTGAAAATTTAATTCAGCTTTTACATTAACAATTTGAGGATTCCCATCATCTAATTTATAATGACATTATTTTTCTAGAAATAGGACAGATTAGAGGAAGGCGAGTTTTGTGGGTAAAATGAAAAACAAGGCAAGCATGCAATAAAATTAAAGTTGCGTATACAAATGTTTGGCTATTTACCATTGAACCTGTTAGCTAACAGCTGGCTGGATTAACCATCTACTGGGCCCCTGGGCAAAAATGTGTTGTTGTGTGTTTCCCCAGGCACCTACAAAACCAACCAGTACTCTAAAGCTGAGATGATTTATTGATTGATCAATTAGTTGACTGACATAAAAGTAATTGTAAGTAATTGACAGCAACTCTGGTTCAAAATTCCCCTGGTTGCTAGTTTCCCAGCTTTTCTATGACTGTAAACTCAACATCTTTGTAGGAGTGGCACCTTCACACTGTAAGAACCAATGGACCAAACCTTAAAATGATAAAAACATAAAAATAAAAAAGTTAAACTAATTTAAAGTAAAAGCATCAAATCCTCATATTTAAGAAGCAGGAAACACTTGGAATTTTTACATGACAAAACTATACTATACTTGCACAATCGACAAAATAGCCTCCAACTGACTTTCTATCAATGGACATAGAGATTAATTAACAAACTCTTCCAGCTCTACTTGTGTGTACTGTTTTAGATTGTTTCATTTATAACAAAGCATCATATTTTATAAACTCCTCATATGTTTTGTATGGCAGAATCTTCATATGCAAAGTAACTAGTAACTAAAGCTGTCAGATAAGTTATTTTGAACTTATTATCAAATATGTTTGTATAGGCTATTCATATACTCATATTTTTTTAAAATATATTTGATACATTTCAAATTGAGCTTTTGATGAGACAGAAATCGTACAGAGTGAGTGTGTTTTGGACTTGAAGTTAGTATTAAATTGTTATGAATAGCTGTATAAGGTGTAATAATTTTAACACACCGGTGGAGCCCAGGTGTAGAGGTGAGGTGTTGTCTTTGGACTGAAATCCCACACCATATTTTAGTTCTTGCCTGAGCATACAGGCAGCCAGGATCCAAACTTCCGTGTGACTCCACACCCTGTTTTCCGGGGAGCCTGTGGAGATCCAGCCCTTCAACACGCTGCTCTCTTACGTCCCGTCCGTGAGCAGTGAGCTGGCCGCGGCGGAGATTTCTCCTTCTAGTCGGATCTTATCTTTTCTCCTACCGAGCTCTTTCTAGTCTTTTACGCACTTGACACATATCGGAGTAGTAAAGTCGGCGCGGTTTCGCTCGGTCACCCGCAAATGTTTTCGTCCTTGCGCTGCGCCTCCGTGGCAATGGATTGATTTCAGTGTTTTTTCTCCGACCTCTGCCTCGACCAAGTTGAGAAAACAGTCTCTCTAACCTGCGGCTTTCTCTTTCCAGCTACATGTTTCATCCGGCCAGTTTTCAAAGTACCTGGCTCCGGATGTTTCTGCACATTTTAGGACTTTGAACTTTTTTGTCCCTTGTGCATTTACAGGAGGTGGCCGGGGATTTTAAGGATTTCTTTTTGTGAAAGCTTCCCCGGGGTTCCTGAAGCCTGCAAAGATTTATTTGTGAAAAGTGATGGCCGAGCGGGGAGCTCTGTCGCTCCTCTCTCTCCTCTGTCTCACCTTTCTCTACACGGCGACCACCGCGGCAAAGCATGTCGACAAAGGTAAAAGCCTTTAATACACTGCCAGCTGCTCTGCTGTATGTCTGTTTATTTACGCCTCGACTGTAGAAACTTACCCTCACTGTATCACGAGTTGGAAAAAAGAAACACACGGAATGCAAGCTGTTGGCTCTGAAAATCAGATATGGAGCTAGGCAGCTAATTCAGCTGGGTTTAGGTCAGCTGCTCCTTCACCATTTGGACAACTTTAAAAGTAGGCTACTTTTTAAATAACAGGCACATCATTCACTCCCAGGCCGGCTCTGTTTCATGCTGTAAAGCAACATGCTTTTCCTTTCCTTTTGTCTGCATAGAGGCTATTGAGGCAGAACTGCTGATAGGTTTCTGTGTTTGCCTTTCCAATGATTCATAGACATGAGCTGTGGCTGTTTCACAAATGTGTCTTTGGGTTGTGTGCAGTTGGATTTGAAAGACCAAATTACACATTTGTTTGTTGGATTGAGATCATCCATCTATCTGTGCCTGCCTAGCTCTGTGGCCATGGAAATGCAAAAGGATGGAAGTAACTTGAATCTGAAAAATACACTATGCAAAGACTCATTAGTGTTCACTGTCAGGTAATAAGCTAGCATCATCAGTCCAGCAGACATCTCATTACCTGGGCGTCAATACATGTTTAGCTGATGGATAAACAGAACCTAATTCATTTGCTTCTGTTAATTGTTTTGAAGTGAGGCTACTGCACTGCAGTGTTCACTTCACTATGTCTCTTATTCCAACTGGTGGTGTTCTGTAGTGAGAGATTCCCCTGATATTGGAGGTGAATTCTTGATATTAGTTATTGATTGGGGTCTGTATATTTTATCATAACCCACCCACATTCTGCTATATGCACTCCAAGCCCTGAGTGCCTGAGATAAATTAAAAAGCCGTGAGAGAAAATGTCTTTCCAACAGTCACTGAAGTGCACAGCTCCTGCCCTTATCACATACCCCATCGCGACAGAGTCATATCTTTATCATTTAAGCTGTTAGACGCTATCAAACACAGCAGCATGTGGTCTGGAAAATTGCAAATATAACTCACTCTTGTGCAACATGGCCCAGTTTTTTCCATCATTCTCTTAATATGCAAAATAGTTTGTGTGTGTGTGTGTGTGTTAGTCCAAAAAAAAAAAAAAAGAAGCAGTCCATGCGCCTTTTGAAGGCTTGTTGTTTATTTTGCCGGTTAAAAAAGAATGAATGTGCAAAGAAGACGGGCCTTGGAATGACGGGCCTCTGCTAGCTGTTGGGGTCTCTTGCGTGTGGAGCCTGATGAAAGACCCTCTCCTGCATGAGAAGCGCTCTGCAGTGGTGGAAGGGGAGATAGAGGAGAGGGAGAGGGAGAGAGAGAGAAAGAGAGAGAGAAAAAAAAGCCCCTCCTTGGCTTTGCTGGAGATCAGTACAAAAGAGAGAGATGGGGGTAGGGTGAAACAGGCTGACTGTCTGGAAAGTAATAAAACCAGGAGATTAAGGGGACCAGGGAGTTCCTTTGGGAGCTTTGATTGATTCCAGAGAATTGGACTGGGACCCACACGCAGAGAGAGTCTCAAATTACTAATTGTGGGGTCCCCTTCTCTGAAAATATCTGTTTATTCAAAACACATTTGTCTGAGGTCTTGACTGTGGCCAAAACTTATCTTTATCAAAGTTGGCAGAGTTTCAGGCCTAACTTAAAGAGTTTGTCTGTCTCATTTGGTTTGGGGACAGATATAATATATAGTCTCACTTTTTTGTTTTACTTTGGAATAACCTGTAAATGTTCTGCCACACTGCTGCTTTCTTTTTTTTTTTTTTTTTCACCACTTCCTCATCTGTCGCACTCAGAAGTTGTTTAAAAAATGCCCCAGAAGTTTGGCTTTTGTAAACAAGTGCCTGTTAGAGGAGTGTAAAATCCATTTAGGCCCTATCTTATCTCCGTAATCCTGCTGGGAGGGAATTGTGTGCTTATTATCTCTCAGAGGACAATGCAAATAACTTGCTGAAATGTGTAAACATTTGGCAACCCTCTCTGCTCTTACAGACCACTCTCCAGGGTTTTATCCTCACAGACCACCTCAGATGCAGCATTGCCCAGACTTTATAAACAACTGTAGTTTTCTTTGGCGCATTTAAGGTCTTTTCTGTGGACTCTGCTGCTCAGAGCATAATTTACCACCTTTTGTGTTGTCGTGTTTGGAAAGCCCTGGTGGTCCCACATCCTCAGTTAGTGGGTAAAACAAGTAAGAGGGCTCAAAGCTAGATCTAATTCGCCCTTAATTTCATTACTAATTCGGCCCTCGCCCTCTTTTCACGGTGTAATCTGTATGCAAAGTGTAGTGAAAGGTTTCTGTTCTAGCCATTTACACAAATGAATTCTACAACTTCACCTTCAGCTCACAATAGCAGAATCTTTTTTCCCACATGTCCGCATCATCCTCTGATGAGTTTAAAGGGGACGTCATGCAGAGTCACCTGCTGTCAGAGCCGTATAGAGTATGCTGTTTACTGATCATTTATTTATGTGCTCCAATCGCTCATAAAGTCCTAATGACCTCCATCCACCCAGAGACGGATAATTGCACACTTTGCCAAGTGTTTGATTCATATGCTTCACTGATGAAACCACCTCCATTAGGAAATGCTACTGATCTGCTGCGGCCCCTGATATGGGAGCGCAGTTTGTTGCTTTCCACTGTTCTCGTGTAAGAGATGGCGCGGTGAGGTCAGCACTTTGAGATCACAGTTGAAAATAACAACTTGTTTGTGCTTTGTTCTTTTTTTGCTCTATCAGCAGCTGAATCTGTTTGTGCAGGGGTTTGTGTGTGGGGATGAAATGACCACAATTACTGGAATCATTTGCACTAACTGTCGCAGCAGTTTATCACATGTAATTGGCAGGGTGAAAGGTGGATCAATATCCTCTGAATAGATGGAAAGACATCTGCTGTTGCATCTCTTTGGTGGCTGGTGGTCATTGTAATCACCTGCTTTCAGATGACTATTTGGGCGACCAATAGGACCTCCCGTCTGCTAATTTGCTCATATATAGCTGCTGATTAAAACTGTGTCCACAATGTAGGCTGAACTGCAGGATTTGTGTCGACGTCAACTCTGGCAAGATCTCTATTATTTGCACCATGGAAAAGATGCACGTCTTAAAACTTACATGGTTTAATAATCCCATTTCGCACCATATCAAACTTTCACACATCATCTGTTAGCCTGGAGGTTTAATGCTTATACACCAGATTGAAGCTATTTGAATTCTACACACACTATACATTTTTATTCCAGTATTTTTCCTAATGTTTACCGATCGCTATTCAGCATGCCGTTTGAAACGTCTACTCTAACCAGCATTGTTAGCCCCCTGTGTGTCCGAGACATAGCCTGGGTCCAGCTTTCTGGTTGCTCCTGGTAGTGGAGGGAGGGCTGTTTTGAGTGGAGGGAAGCCAAGCCTGCATCATGGTCTAAAACCCAGAGCGGATCATGGACAAGTCCATGGCTTCGGCCGCCCCCCTGCTAAGATGAAATTACCTCTATCAGAGCTGCTTCTAGTGGTGTGGTGCAGAGAAACATGACAGAAGTCTGCTTTTCCCCGTCTCTCCACTTCAGCCCGTACACCGGCCCCTCCTGCTCCTCTCACTCTGGTACACATGCAGTTGCCTTGAAAGACTTTCTTGGGGCTGTATGATGTTTCCCCAGCATGCAGTTTTACGAGTTTTCATAAACACTGATATTGGAAAAATATTTATGTTGTGAAATTATTTTCAAGCATATTGCTCAGCCCTGCAGGTGTGAATGTGTCTACGCCGGTGTCGTTCTTTTCCTAAGTTCCTTTTTACAAATTTCTGAAAAAAAAAAAAAACCATTGCATTTAGTGAGCTCCCGCACAGAAGACAAAATGATCTTTACATTACAAGCAGCAGCTGTAAGTAGGCGTGAAAATTAACTTCTGACTTGTGGGGCAGGGCAAATTCTATTTCCAAAAGAAATGACGGCACAAGAATCTGTCAGCCGGAGCTCAGAAGATGACGGTAATTGATCATTTGGGTTTACTCAATGAACATGCACTTTGTTGCAATTAATCCAACTAATAAGTCACAATGTTGGAATAAAAACAGAAAATGAAAGTTATTTTTCTGTGTTGGAAGGGAACTTCTCGGCCGTTCAAACTCTGGGTTGAAGAAAACTTGAAATTCCATATTCACCAGTTCCTCTATTTGAATGTTAAAGGTTCCACATTTCTAGCAGCAGTTCATGGCTGACCAGTTTCATCAGGACATTTTTAAACTGCCAGCAGAGAATAAAGGCTTTACTTTTTTTTTCTTTTGCTTTTTCTTTTTCTTTCTTTTTTTTTTTTTTTTTTTTTAACACTTAGCCTTCCTCTAACCAATTTCCTGGGGGGAAACCCTGGTCTCTGGACACGGGAAAACTGTTTCATTTAATGTGGCGCAGAAGGAGTTTAGGTGTTGTGAACCATCAGCTCTCTGTGTGCTTTGAAAGCCAGCCCATTGCGTGTTATGATTAGTCAGTCCACAAAAAGCAGCTCACATCAAGTGTTCTCCTCTTGGAAGCAGAACTGCTCTCAGATTCAGAGGTGTTCCTGCTGTGTCTAAAAAGATGTCAGATGCAGCACCTTTCCAATGCGGCTGCTGTCTGTCTTCTTTGTGTCTGCTGGCCCTTTCATGTCAAAACAAAGCAGGCTGGAAAAAAAAACTTGCTTGGACTTTGAAAAAAAATAAAAGGTTGAATAGCGTCTACAGGCCATAAAGCTGTCCATACTGCCCTGTGTGATGACTCCTTTGAGACTTTGTGGTAACCCGTGGGACATTACATCAACAATATTTTTATCTTTTACTGGGGACGTCTCTGGAAACATGTCAGCCTGCCTGATTTCCGTGTTTCCTTTTTTACTTTTTTGTTTTTTAAAATTACAACAAAATGCAAAATTTCTAATCCGCTGTGGTGCTGTTGTGCTCTCCAGGCTTCCCTGTTCTGCTGTGATTGAATGATGCTCAG